CAGGCTTGCTATAGGCTTGCAAATCAATTCGCATCATGAGGTCTCACAAAATTTCCCAATACAAAAAATTGGCAGAAAATTGGCACTGCGACCTTCCAGCCCTAATGCGTCCACTCACATCATGTATTACAACAAGCTGAGCTGGGTCAGGTGTTTCTTTGTCGTCTGGGCAATGGGTGCACCGACGTGACAGGGGTCCACGTCTCATTGTGCCGTAATTCTGATTTCCTACAATCTCCGCGGCTCTAGAACGGCACTTATGTCCCAACCTCGTCTTTCCTGCAGTGCAATACATGTCGTGTGCTATGAAGCTATGAATCTCCGGATTCCAGCCTCTGGTGGTACGTGCTCAGCGATGCCGTCACCTTTGCGGATGGTTTCAGGGAAGCTTCCCATCCTTGAAAGGTTCATCACTTAAAGCCCAGCGAGCCCTTGTAAGCTCTTAAGCCGCAGGCAGTAGAGTGCCAAGGCAACGTGCGTCCGCTCCAGCCACACTGTTCTGACCTTCCGCGGCTTCTGGGGATCTGAATCAGTATGAAGATTCACTTGAAGCTATCAAGTACCTGATACCCTGCGGCTTTGATATTGATGAGGATAAAAGAACATACGACAATGACGCAGAGACACACCGTGGCCTTCAGGGGTGCTGTAAGCTTAAGTGCCAAGTCTGGAGCAAGCGGCTCGGGAACTCCTCTGACCTTACTGGAGCTTAGTAGGGCATAAAGTGATGTATTTTATGGGGGCGATATAGGGCTTACAGACCCTCATTCCCTACTAAGAATCAGTAAGTCGCATAAGGCCATACAGTCATCCAGAAGTTCAGAACCAACGTAGCATCAAACTATGGGAGTTCGGACTGATGAGGCTGAGCACACAAAATGTCCAGGGGATATGCCCGGGGACTTAAGTTCTAGCCAATCTACCCCCTCAGTCTGTTTGTCAGGCTAATGAATGAAATGGGACTAAGTAGGATAGTCGGGGCCCGTTTATCGATCAGGGGGCGTTTTTTGGCTAGCATCCCATTTTTCGATAGCCCCAAAATGCACCACATGCACACCCCGTGCAACCTTAAGCTGGGCGATGATAGCATAGCATACATCTCTTTATCCCTAAACCCTATAACTCCCTAAACCCCTAACCGACCCCCAACCCTAAACCCCTAACCCTAAACCACCCCTAACCAACCCCTATAACCCTAAACCCCTAAACCCTACACCAGTAACCCTAAACCCCTAACCCTAAACCCAGTTGCAAGGCTCTGTAGGGCCTCTGGCTCCGCCAGCACCACCTTGTTTGGGATTTTCAGCTCCCGGTCGCCAAGCCTGGGATATCAGGAAGAGTCCTGACTCAAAGGTTGGGATCTTATGACTAGGGGGGTTATATAGGGGTTATGTGGGGGGTAATATTGGGCTAATAGAAAAGAAAATGGAAACTACTATAATAGCGTTAGTTAGGGGCTATATTCTGGGGATAGAAAACATCTAGAATCTAGATAGGTCACTCAGGCAAATTATCTCGTGAAGGGCTTTTGGGGCTCTTGACTTTTGGGGGTTTTGCAGGTCAGAAAAATTGCTGCGAGGTTTGTAGTTTGTGGACTGGCCTCATGGTTGTGGCCATATGACCTATAGTCTTAACTCCCTAGAGGGGGTTATATAGGAGGTTATATAGGGACTATGCTATAGGGGTTATTAAGGGGATACTAGGAGTTTAGACGATGGCTCATATGATTACGTGTTAGTATGTATTGTCATTATTACTCTGATTGCTATGATTAAGATTACTGTAGTTATTACTAGTACTACTCTTATTGCTAGCATTAAGATTACTATTATTATTATGGTTACTACTATCATTATTATAAGCTGCTTGCGAAGGCTTGCCGCTGTAGCACACAGGACCCCATGCATCATGGGCTCTCTGGATCATCTGGCATGACACGAGCACCATCACTATAGACTCATTTAAAATTCCAGATCCAGCTGCCTAGATGCAACGTTCATACAATCCTAAACCCTAAAGCAACTTCTGTCAGGCGGCCCAAAAAAGAACCAAGCCCAATTAGGGAAATGGAGTAGGAGCATCCTAGTCATAGTCTTTCATTGAAACCTGAAAGCCAGCATTCCAACCAAACATTGGAACCAGACAGGGCTGATTAGTCTGTAGACCTACCTGGACCCCCAAAGTATGTAGATTAAGCAGCTTTGGGAACATTATGGAGCATCGAATGTGAATGGACAAGGGATGGAACCTGGGATTATAGAGTGGTTCATAGGGATTGGGGTTTCCATATGAGCTATAGTCTTAAACCCTAAACCCTAAATAGTAGTTTCCATTTTTCCCATTATCCCTATATAACCCCTATATAACCCTATATAATCCCCTATAGGGATTGGGGTTTCCATATATGTTTTCAGGTCCAGGTAGTGGTTGCCATGACATGCGAGGCGCGCTCGCGGGAAGGGCGACGTCATGGGCGGCGACAGGCTACAGCCCAAGCCGGAGGCGGACTGGATACGGAACTCCTGCAGAAAGCGGATGGCTATGTAGTTGATGAAGTGTAGATAGATATCTCATCATTCCATATCCTTCCCCTGATAGACAACACAGCTCATAAGGCTATAACGTTCCTGCACAGTGTATTACGAGGTGTTGTGGCTCCATGACGAGAAGTGATCAGTCTAGAGGGCACGCGAGGCCAGTGTGAACTCTGGGAGATGAACGAACGAAAAAGCTACCAAGGGCAGACGGTTGTTGTGCAAAAATAACGCGCTTGGTGCAAGGCCCTGGGGTTGACCCGACATGTAGAGTATAGCAGAACTCCATCCCGTTATCCGGCCAAAGGTTGGGACCATCAGTTTCAACGTTCTCTTCCACCTACCACGAAGGCTGAAAACTCGACACCTTTCCAGAAGTCGACGCATTGCTTGCGGAGACATTACGTCGCGCTTGATTAGAACAGGCATCCCTACCCCTACACATGTTGCAACGATTGTATCCATGTATGAGCAAGTCTCCCAAACCTCTTCCTTATATTTTTGTGAAGCTTGCTTTCAGACGCCTGGAAGGATCTAGAAACTGGTCTCCAAACTTAACCCTATACTACTATTGCGGTAGTTTCAATGAACCCTGAATTAAGGGTGGTCTACTGTCAAGATCCTCCCCGGAATCCCCTAGATAATCCCTATACTACAGTAGTTTCCACTCTATTTTCCATTGTCCCTATATAACCCCTATATAACCTTATAGACTATAGTAGTTTCCATTTTATTTACCATGATCCCTATGTAACCCGCTGTCTAGATCCTCCCAGGAAACCCTAAACCCTAAACCTTGTGTAGTGAGGTTGCGTCCTTCAACCGCTGCTCGAAATCTGCTCCGACTACCTCAGCAGCCAGAAGCGCCAAAGAGTCCCCAGCCGAAGCTTCGGTGGGAACTACTATAGTATATAGGGTTACATAGTATATTTGTAGGGATAATGGAAAATAAAATGGAAACTCCCATATTATAGGGATTATATAGGGTCTAATGTCATTGGTAAGTGGTCAAAAGTTGTGGTCCCGGTTTCTGGGGGGTGGCCTATATAAAAGGGGCCATAATTTTGACGACCTCGCCACTAGCTAAGAGCTTTACGGTTCAGGCAGTTGGGCCGTAACTAATGTTTCAAATCCCACAAGAATTTACATCCAAATCAAGGCTCCTCTAATCGCCATGCCGCAAGAGCATGCCTGTTTCACAGCCGAAGGCACGTGGAGCACATCGGGGGCGACCTCCATTACACCTGCTCTTCAGCTAGACAATGGGCAGGTTTCAATTTAAGACTCGGGAGGCGGGTCTAAAGTTGCGGTGCGCTGTGCAGCTAGTTTCACCGGAAGTTTTTTCTCCTGTTATTCACACCTGACCGGATTGTGACATTTGGGTGGTCAGTTGTACAAGAAGCGCGGTACTCTCTGAAGTGTCAAACTTCCGAATCCAAAGCCTAGCTCAAACAATATGCTTGGCATTGCTTCTACTTCAACGACAACCTACACTCGGGGAATCGCCAAGCGTCTGAAAACTCTTGTGGGCGGGTTTCTCAAAAAACGGGCCTCCAGGGACCCTGGGGATACATCGAGGGTATAAGGCGATTATGGGGAGTTCTTCTTACGTCCTACATGAAGATTATTTTGAGAGACTTGCGATGTTCAGGCATGCAAGAACAGCCGCGGTGAGATAAAGTGCTTAGACCGTGAGGGTTCAATGGGTCTAGGGATTGAGGTTGGGTTCAAAGTTTAGGGTGGATTTAGGGTGTAGGGAAAACACCGTAACGTCCTCCAATATGAAACTCTAGCAGCTTGGTGGCATTGAACTGAGTAGTTGGAGTACTTCCCACATCCTGAAACTGCAGCCCAAACATTGTACAAATTGATAGCAAGAAAAACACGAAGTCGGTATACGCATAAATATGTGTATATATATATAGATGTATGTACATACATACATACATACATACATACATACATACAGACATACATACATATGCGCATGTAATCCCTATATGCCTATACTACCGTCAGATTGCAGCCTCTGCTATGCTTGGGCAAGCTGTCTCAGACCACAAACCATGTTTGCGGAGGCGCTGTCTGGGGACAATGAGGGTTTGAGGTTTAGGGTTTTAGGGTTTAGTGTTTAGGGTTTAGGAACAAAATGGGGCACCCGCATTACAAAAAGGACCCAAGCTATTGAAACTGATTTGGGGAACCTACCTCTACATACTTCCCATAACATACGAAACCTACCCATATATGAGCAATAGTCTAAACCCCTAGTAGCCCCCTTGGTACCCCCTATACTACTCGTTTGTATAATCGCTATATTGCCCCCTTTCAGGAGTTTAGACCCTAAACCCTAAACCATTATATAATCCTATAAAAAACCTTTTAAGGAGTTTAGACCCTAAATCCTAAACCCCTATATATTCCTACATAGACCTCCTTTAAGGGCTCATATAGCTCCTCACTTATTTCTGCCAAGGCCTCCGCCTGCTGCCTCGATTCGCTTGGCCTCCGCACTAAAGGCGTACCCCCAAAAAGCCCAACATCCCTCAATTGAGGCGGTTTAGGGTTTAGGGTTAGGAGGACCCTCCATCCTGTAATAGTGGTATAATAAGAATATAAGAGGATCCTGATATATCCCCTATTATCCCTCATAGTCACTATTACTGGGCGGGGGGTCCACCTAAAATATACCCTAAATAGTACAAGGGTCCCTAATATGATTTAAGCTATCTTCCTTAGTTCAGGGGTATTGGGCTTCGCTTGAGGGATTCAAATAGCCCAATGCAGGTAGCATAAGGCTTTGGGTCTGTAGGGTGTAAGGCTCAGGGATCCAAATAGCCCAATGTATTACCCAAAACATGGAGAATCAAGTGGAAAAGCAAATGGAGAATGAAAACAAAACTAGGAGTTTATAGAGAAAAAAAAAGGATCCAAACAGCCCACTTTAGGTAAGTTTACAGACTTTTGCGCCCAATGTAGGTATTCTTTGTATACTTGGATCCTTAAATATATAGTAACTACTAAATCTCAAGCTTTGGCAAGTCTTCTCGGGGTACTTAAAAGGGGGAACCATGACCGGCGTTGCAATAGATGCTTTGGCGTGTTTAGATTAGGAGGACCCCCCACCCTGAGGAATATAGGAGGACCCTTATATAATCCTTATTATCCCTTATAGTCACTATTACAGGGTGGGGGTCCACCTCATGTCTAGATTATATCGACACAGTAGCCAGCAGCTAGCTCCAAAAAAGCAGGCGCTGCACCCCAACTTTGCGGTCAGAATTCGGAACAACTTGCTTGCTCTTAGGAGGGAATATGGGAATATGCTATGTGGGGATTGTATGGGGATTGTATGCCCTTATTCCCTACCAAGAACCAGCAAGGCAAAGCCGTTAGTGTCCGGGCCAAGAGCTGGTCAAGACCGAACCACATGTTGAAACCACGAGGGTCGAATCCGGTATCTTTGGTGCGGCAACGGTATTGGCCCAATATAACCGCAATATAACCCTATATAAGCCCAATAACCCCAATACAACCCTATATAAACCCCATATAACCCAACATAATCCTGTGTGAGCCCAATATAATCCCAATTGGCCCATATACTGGAGCCCAAACTCTGGACTCACGGGTGCAGTGCCAAAAAGTTATTGTCCTTCTTAAAGTTTAGCTGTGTCAGGTTGGTCAAGAGCTATCAATAGCCAAACCACTGGAGCAGTTTTGTAAACTACCTGATGCCTGAATCTCTGTGGAGACTAGAAATTTCTGTTGTGCCTGACGGAACCAACAATGCCTATGCTTCTCGTTCACAATATTCATCGCCATCAGGGGGGGGAAAGGCTACTCCCTTGACCCTGAACCCGGAGTGCCAAAAATGAGGCGCTCCGCAATGGAATCCCTTGTCCTTCCATGGGAGTTGCACGAAGCAATCCCTATAAAATAGTGGTTGCAGGGAAGCTTCTATACTCCCGTCCTAAACCACCTCTACCCAGAGGTTCCTGCAGGATCTCCTCATTTGGAGAAATCCACACATGAGTAGGAACCAAGTGAATTAGTATTCTCTTCTTACAAACTTCTATGCCCCCAAAGCACAAACAATTTTGCAATCTATTGACTCTATTGGAGATTAAAGGATCCCAATTGCCCCAATGGAAATCTTTTCATGTGACTCATGGTCTTCACTTGTGACCCCCCAAACTGGACACCAAATATGTGCATATGTGAGGGAGGGTTTGTACGGTCCAAAAACCACGTTGGTTGTGGTCGGCTGTGTCTCGAAGTACAAAAGTTCAGGCAGCTTTCAACAGATGGTATACGGAACTCGTCACAAACGGGAGTTGACCGCTGACATGGTTGTTGTTATATCTTAAGATAATTCTACTAGGTCTTTTTGAATGAAAGTTTGAGCAGGTAGTTAAATAAATCCTAAAGAGTGCCACAACATACGTACATATACACACATGCACCAAACATGTGTAAGGAACCCTGCATCCTACCCTTAAACCTGATACCCTCAACGTACAACTTCATCAAAGTCTCCGTGTATACCGCTACACAATCCTAATTCGACGCACTCATAATTGAAACTTCTTCATATACCCTACACCCTAAACCCTAAACCCCTAAATCCTAAGCCCTAAAACCGTACAACCCTAAACCCTAAAACCCTAAACCCTAAACCCTAAAGTCTCTGGCGAAGTGCCTCGCTTTCTGTTTCTGGGCTCAGGATCTGGTGCAAAGCTTCGTCAGGCCCCTCGCCTTGGCATGGCGAAGCTCATAACTGCAGTCTAGGGTTCAGGGTTTGGAGTTTAGGGTTTAGGGTTTGGAATTTAGGGTTGGGATTTAGGGTTTAGGGTGTGGGGTTTAGGATTTAGGGTTTGGAGTTTAGGGTTTAGGGTGTGGGGTTTAGGGTTTAGGGTTTGGGCCTTGGGGTTTGGGGTTTAGGGTTATGGTTTGGGGTTTAGAGTTTACGGTTAGGGCTCATGACTTCTTAGGATTGCTGGTGAGAAGCTTGAATCAGGTTACCAAGGTCTGGGCATGGAATTCATGCTACTGTACGGTTTGCTGATTGCGGCCTCTTAGTTCAGACTCCGCAATGGCAGTAGAGTAGCTCTCCTCCCAAATGACAAAGCCCCTACCCTTCTCTACCCCTCCTTGCACGGGGCTATACAGGGGCTTTATATAAGGGACTACTCTAGGGCTGTGGGTTATAAAGGGTGATACTAGGAGTTTAGATTCTAGCTCACATGGCGATTCTTTTCTGAAACAATAGCATTGACGTCCCAGATATCGGTTTCCCAGAATACTGTGCATATGTGTGGGACCTGCACGTCGTTAGCATGATGCCTACGCTCGCGATACTAGATACGCTCATCAGTCTGGTCAGGAATAATGCGGTTACGCTTGCAGACCTGCTACTCTAGAACATGGTAAGCCCTAACCCCCGAAACCCTTACCACTCTAGATCCCTGAAACCCCTTGCGACCCTACTTCTCTGCAACTCTTACAACGTGACATCCCTGAAGCCCTTGCCGCACCAAAGCCCCTGAAACCTTGCACTCCCAAATCCCCGAAACCCTTTACAACTCATGGGAATATTTACCTGCCCCACCTTACGAATGCTCCCAGCCCAGCCAATAAGGGCATGAAACCCAAAACCCCAAAACCCTGAACCCGAGGCCCCAAACCCACAACACCCCAATACCTACGCCCCAAACCCCAAACCCCTCCACCCTAAAGCCAGGATACTGGAGCAAAGTACGCTGTTGCCCACGCCCAGGCCACAGGCGAATAGCCGCCTTGCAGGTTTGGAAGCTTATTGGAGAGTATAGGTGTCCCTTCCAAGGAGATATGGAGGCTTGATGTGGGTTATATGAAGGTTGTAAGGCTTCAGGGCTGTTGGAAGTAGTATTGTTGATGGGGATTGTATTGGGTTATGCTTTTTGGTGAGTAAATCAATATCCTACCCAAAATGGGTTCCATAAATTCAAACCTACGCAGGCTAAGTATAAGGGCTTATATAGTGTTCTATAGGAGTCTGCAATAAAGGAGAACATGAAATGGAAACTGGAATAGCATAATAACGGAGACTTCGTGTTTCCAGCAATTTTGGGTACCTTGTTTGAAGGGGGACAGTTTAGTATATGCGTTTATAGGGATCCCTGCTATCATGGAAACACCTGAAACTGTGTCCCTTAAGAAACAGATAGTAGCATAGCATATCAACATCAAAATTAAGT